GCCTTACGGTCGTCTGTGATACACTATCCTTGCTACTCCTAAGGAACGAGTAACCACAGAACGTATTTTCGCTTACTGGAGACACTTTAGCCAGTATTATCTGTAGACTGACTTGCCCGAACAGTGAACCTGCATCGCCCCTAAGAAACTGCAAGTCGATTTCAATCAGTTGATTCGGATACGTGTGCTGGTTCGCCTCAGTGTTACTATTGAAAGCATGCTGCATACACCCAAACTATCTGATGAAATGCATTTTCTATTCGAATAATACTTAAGCAGGGTTGTTATATTGCTTATCGAAGCCTTATGCCGGAATATTTCAGTTAAATGAGGTTTTTTGGCGACCAAATGCGATATTTTTTTCCGTAAAAAGCTACTGCTTATCTAGTATGAATTTTTGTCACTGTTGGTAACAAAGAAACTCTTCAAATTTTATACTGAAAGGAGGTGTGCCTTTCAGTGTAAAAGAAGGTTCGATGTATGAGTTTTTTAAGACCGTGAAATGTCCATTCATAAAGCACCGCATATGTCCATTTTTTAACATCAAATCTAACGTATGCGGTATGGTCCATATAAACTACAAAAATTGGTGAGGATTATATGATGCTCCCCGCATAGCGAAAATAAATAGGTAATTTTCATTAAACGGACTGTACACAGCATGTAGTCGGCAATCGTAATATTAGGTCGGGTTCTATATTATTCGGGAGTTCAGAACAGTTTTTAAACAGAAAGAGCCCATAAAGACGTAATTTGCTGCTCAATAAGTAAAATAGAGAATATTTCCGAGCATTTTTTCTTTACCATATATTCCAATTCATAAAGCTCGGATATCAGTCGGAAACATTCATCTTACTTAAGTAGCGTCTAGTTACAGAATGTAGATTTTGCAAGTGGCCGTAAAAACCTGTTTCAAGAGTCGGTATTCTAATAGAACTGAAATTTCTTGGGATGAGACTGAAGAATGACTTATATTGCAAATCTAAGTAATTATTTCTATTCGAAAACACGTTTCAGGATATTGTTTTACATTTCATTAAATAACATATCAAGGGTAGGTCTAGATGTATCACCGACTCCCCCTCTACGACCCACGCGGATTCCGTGGAGTCCAGTTAACGAGTTCAGCTTACCAGTCTGAATACTGATTTGGTTCATGCATCTGTAGCGCAGCCCGTTGCAGGGGGCTAAATTTATCTCTTTCGAAATTACTTCAAACTTGAATTTAAACATTTATTTACTCATCTTGAAGGGACAATGGCTGGTCTTGTTGTTTTTGCTGATCACCTGCCTCTAACAGATTTTTATATTTGCCTTCTCCATCTCATTTAACAGAGTTGTATCCCCCCAAACCGTACAACTTCTCCCCACGTCCTCGTAAGAATCAGCCTCATGCTGTGAGACTTCGCGAGACCCTTGTTCTCCGCTATTACCCCGATCTAACACCCTCAACTTCGTATACCGCCGAAAACATCTCTAACCCTCCACCCAGACTTGAGTAAGTCTATGAGACCTTAAACACCCTGTCCGGGCTTATTTTTACAGCAGGAAGTATTTATTCCATTAATAAAAAGGCAGCAACGTTCCTGAAGGATGATTAACTATATTTACTTGCAAGTGTGCAGTCCTTTGAGAGGGTTTTAACTAATGCCATGAAGTAGTGTTTACGAGAAGGAAGATTATCCGCAATTTCGGATCAGAAAGCGAGCAGGATTGAATATGAAACCGCCTTCTTATATGATCCCCATACACGCGTGAATGGAGGACAGAGTGCATTAACGGATGTCTGAGGGGAAAGTAGGTAGCAGTGTTAAACCCATATTGGTAGACACACATATCTTATAAATCCTCCACAGAAGAATTACTGATCGTGACTATTTGTGGCCTTTGCCACCAATACCGAACTTATTTGATTCGGGAAGCCAGTGGATCGATGAACGTCCATTCCTGTTTCAAGATGGGCACTCACTGATCGGTTACGGGACTCACTAGTCCTGTAATGCCTTGGGGCTTGAATACCTTAACCGGAGGATTATATTTTGAATAAAATATACCAACTTCATCTCGAATGACTATGATGAAACTGCAAGGATATCAAAGAAAAACTATTGAGATAATTGAACACGTTTTTTCCTCTCTTTCTGCGACTTCAGTTTTCCATACTTGGTCAAGGTCTGCTACTCACCTCGTCTATTATGAGGGTTAGGGTACATAAGGATTAAACCTAACATTAGTGTTAAAATTAGGACAAGGGAAGTACGCTCTCCTCTTGGAAGTGAGCGTAAGGCCATTTTTATTACGGGAGGAAATTTATATCCCTGTCAATCTGTTTGCCCTTCCGGGAGTCCGAGATTCAGACAGGTGGATCCAACCACTTCAGTCATCGTACCCGCATCCACCTCTCGTGATCCTGTCTTTGCCGTGTTATTGGAACATGCGAAGGAATGATTTCGATGCTGTTATCAGCTCCTCTCTATATAAAGAAATTAAAATTCCAGTCACGGGTGCGTCTTTGGAACAGGACAGCGAGTAGTTAGTGGTTGCCCTCCCGACTTCACGCACTTGCACACTGTAACTTTTCCCTCTTCTCTAGGTGGTTCCGCGTTATGCGAGGTCGACAGGAACCCCTGCGAATTCCCTCATTACCCAGCGGACAGGTTGCGTCCAACACCCGGGTCTTTGTCATGCACGGACGTCACCTCGTTATTCGTGATTCTGAGGAGAGTGACAGCGGCTCCTACGAACTTGTACTTACCAGCTCGGCGGGACGTGTTTCCGTGCCGTTTGAAATTATGGTCTCATGTGAGTAGCATTTTTATACTCCTAATTTTTATTTTTTTCTCGCTCTTTTTTGCGTATTGAAATACGGACATTCTAGAAAATAGAATTAGGAGACCAAATTCGACAAAAGTACGCGTTCGATACGTTGTCATCAGGCCTGTGAAAAAACATAAGTGAGGGTAGAGTAGCAAAGGTTTAAACAGCCGAAGAAGGTGTTGGAAAATCAGCTGTCGCGGTTTTGTTGCTGTAACACGACGTGACAGGAGGTGTGAACAAACATGCTGGCTAAATCTTGGGCCAAGAGAACCGTAGAACTTCCTTCTGCCTCCCCTTCCTCTCTCTAAGTCCCTGACAGAACTAGACTATAATCTCTGACCTCTAAGCACCCTCAACCCTCTCTCTCATCGTTACTCTTGGTTGCCTGTTTTAATTTTTGCCACGTTACCATCTTTTATTTTACTGTACGGGTCCGATTACGAAGCGTTCGTTTGCCGAACTTCTTAAATTTTTACATGGTTATCATCGCTTAAAATATAGCCAGGACTACTGCAAGTTTTCTTCACCACTGGTTTTAAAGTGCTTCACTACACTTGCGGAAATTAGAGCTTTAGGCCGCGTCAAACAACATTTTATATGACTTGTTTGTTATTCTACCGATATGCATCTGTTAAACCTCATCATCTGTTTGCAATTGGTTGCACTCTTTTTCGCACACCCCTGGAACTTGCACATGTGGCATGCAGATCAGGGTGCCTGTTAACGCACTGAAGTTCCAGTACCACTTAGACGACCTCCTTGTCTTCGTTGGAGGCACAGCCATCTATACAAATTTCCTTCTTGTGTCTTTAGTATGTACAGGACTGTTTGAGGATAGAAGGTCTTGCCTCTTTGTCGTTAGTAATCTAACGCACTAGTGGAGGCAGATTCCCTTGTTTTGGAAAGATAAATTACATAAGACACCCTGTGAGGTATTTTGCAAATCCGTTGGATTCAAAATGGGTATCTCAGTTTCTAAGTTCACGATTCAGTTGAGCACTGTAATTGGCAGTCTCTGCGCGGTGCCTCCTCAGTTCTCTTCGAACGATTTCAGCTACGTTTCTAAGGTGGATGAGGGCGGAGAAGGGAGTTTCAGCCGCGGGTCGCTTTGGGTATCTGATCGTTCGGAGAGTTGGTAGTACACGCTCCTTCCGAGACACGCCTCTTCACGGAACAGCATAAAAAATTCCTTTTGCCTATTATGAGAAAACAGTTCAACGAAATAAATTTTAGAAGATGAAATTGCGAACATACGTTTGTTTTCGATAATTCTAATCGGGCCTTTACATTTATATGGTAATTAAGTAAATAAACTACCTGGGTTGATAGAAAAAATAGAACGGTTGTCAGGGCACAGGGAATGGGGGGGGAGGAAAGGGTGTCAAAATCTGATCAGTGTTAGGGGAACTGGTAGTCGGCTGAGGTGCTAAGTTGCTGGCTGTTGGATCCATGGGTCAGTTGAGTTTAGCTGGACTTTGTAGGCGTTTAGGCACACTCCTGCAGAGGAAATCAAATACATACTTTCTTTTGATATAAGTGCTTTGGAAAACAGAGACTATTTAAAATAGCTTGATCTGCGAAAGGATTCATCATTTTCCCGTTGTACAAAACTTCAAGAAATTAGCTGTAAGCGGAGCTGTGGAGGTATGACGTCGGGCCCTTTAGCTCAATGGTTAGGGCGTTTGCCTCTGACTGGAGATACGCGGGTTCGAAACTCGGGTGTGGCGCAATTTCCGCTGCTACACTTGAATATGGTATCTCCAGCTGACGATGGCAAATAAGCCAGAAACGCCTTCCTGAAGTCTCTGTCTTGACGGTAAAATGTCCTAGGATAGTTTTTTAGTTTGTTTTTGGTGTGACACCGTCTAAGCCATGTTTACAAACTTCCATGCCAGGGTAAATGAAAAATAAGCTTAGCCCCTCATTGCTTTCATCATGCCTTACCTAACAAGGTCTCAAAGAGGTAAACCGGGGAAAATGAATTCGTCTATGGAAGAAAGGTTTGTTGTTGACTGTCCGACAGGGAAGGAGCACGACTGACCTCGGAATAATTTGTTGGGATAAGTACTGCACCAGGTGATATGTCTATCTGTATGCTATATAACTTGTTTACTGACAAGTACAGAATGCAATTTATCA